AGTTTAAAACTCTATGAAAGAGTTGATTTAACCGAAAGTCGGTTGTAAACCAAGGATGAAGAAGATCTTATTGCCGATCTCCAAAGCTCCAACCGAAGGATGAATGATCCTCTTTTCGCTGCCAAGAAGTTCCAACCGACCGCCTCGAAAGATCCAGCCCTGATCTGATTATCAAAAATCTCATCCTTAACTCTGTTGAGTTTGTTGTTATTTATAGGGGATTAAGGGGTGTAACCACCTCCTTAATTCGCTCCTAAGTGGGGCTAATGGAGTTGTGATCCCCTCAGATCGTGGGAAACGGTTTTGAAACCGTTCAACTCGTGTTTGAACGAGTCAAACGCAGATCCTGCATTCTGGCATGAATTCTGTGTCCAAACGCAGTGTCTGGAAGCTTGAACGCAGTGATTGGAAGCTGCGTTTGCAGCGGATGAAAGCTGCGTTTGGCAGCGGTATAGAGCTGCGTTGGGCAGCGCTTGGAGCTGCGTTGAGCAGCGTCGGGCGACGAATAGAGCTGCGTTGTGCAGCGATGTTGAGCTGCGTCGGGCAGCGAATAGAGCTGCGTCCAGTGGCGATTTAAGCTGCGTTTGCAACTTTTAGAGCTGCATTTGAACTGCGTTCGTGGCTATGAACGCGGCGCATCTTGATGCTGGTACGCGGGGAGGACTTCCACGTCTTGATTTGAAGAGACCGTCGATTTGTAGTCTCTTTCTGTCGAAGCGTTGCAAAGATCGTCATTTTGTAATCTTTACTTTAGCTCTTTGATATGCAAGAGTCGTCAGATTGTAACTCTCGATGTTGATGGTGAAGGCTATTAAACTAGAGCTCTCATCGGTTGTCGTGAAGGTCGTCAGATTGTAACCTTCAGCGATCTACGTGAAAGTCTTCAAATTGTAGCCTTCTGGAAGTCGTCAGATTGTAACTTCCATCATCGGTGTTTGATGGGGATCAGCTATCTATTGTGATTTTTAGACAGCCTACAGAACCCCCTCCAAAGTTTTCGAAAGTTCGCGGTTGACTGGGACGAATTTTCGGAATACTTTGGATCTCAACTCTGATCTTGGAGCTGTTGATTCCTTGTGGTAAAGGATTTGTTCTCTGCACTTGCTTCGAAGGCATCTTGGTTGAAGGGATTTGCACGTAGGACCTGTGTGAAGGTATGCGCCATAATCCTGCTTCTGGAATGTGGGGGTGGACCCTGCATTTTGAACTTGAGACACGGGTGTGACCTCGGCGTTTGGTTTTTGCATCGCGGGTCTGACCTAAGCGTTTGGTTTTTGCATCGCGGGTCTGACCTAAGCGTTTGGTTTTTGCATCGCGGGTCTGACCTAAGCGTTTGGTTTTTGCATCGCGGGTCTGACCTAAGCGTTTGGTTTTTGCATCGCGGGTCTGACCTCAACGTTTTGACTTAAGACATGAAAGTGGCTTCCGTGCATTTTTGACTAAGTCTTTGAGACTTGTCTTCAGCTTATTCGTTTCAAGTCTCGGCTCACATCCATTAAGCTAATGGATATTACGGGAATAGGCTACCCGGCAACATGTGTTAGATGTAGACTTATCTCAAATTAGGGATCGAGATAAATTCCCCCAGTCATGAATCCTGGTGTCTTTTTCACGGTGAAAGATTAACCGGCAACGCGTGTTAGGCGTAGACTTATCTCTAATTAGGGATCGAGATAAAGTCCCCCATGCGTGAATGCATGGATTTTTGGTGTCGTTTCTTCCTGTGTGGCTTGAAACACCGAAAGAAAGTTGGAAGTGCCAGAGGTATGGTATTAACTTGGCATGAATTTTCACCTAAAGTGAAATTCAAAAACTTTCTTTATTATCACTAGGATAGTTCCAGAAAATAATTAATCCGCTGGGGATTTTATAATGATAACTTGCTATTCTTGTTGAAAAAGGATTAACAAGTTCATTGGGGGGGTTTGACTGTTAGAGGTGTGATGTTAACCTAACAGTATTTTATAGACCTATCGCTCTGTTGACGAGAGTCGATAAGTGGAAAGTGTTGCGATCGGAGCAACTTTGAGGACCTATCGCTCTGTTGACGAGAGTCGATAAGTTGATTTTGTCAGAGGTGTGATATTAACGTGACAAGAAGAATATTACGATCGGGGCAATTTTGAAGACCTATCGCTCTATTGGGGAGAGTCGATAAGTGGATTTTGTCAGAGGTGTGATGTTAACGTGACAGGAAAGAATGTTGCGATCGGAGCAACTTCGTGGACTTATCATCCTATTGAAGGGGATTGATAAGTCGATTGTCAGAGGTGTGAAATGTTGCGATCAGGGCAACTTTGTGGACTTATCATCCTATTGAAGAGGATTGATAAGTGGATTTTGTCAGAGGTTTAGTGTTAACGTGACAGGATTTTTGTACTTGTGATTTGAACAAGATTTTGGGGACTAGCGTCTCGCTGGGGAGAATTGCTAAGTGAGCTTATCATCAGAAGCGATGAATTTTGATACTAATTGGGAGTAATGCGAGTTTAATGCATACTCTGTGGGGATGATGATCGTCAGAAGTGTAATGTTAACTCGACGATGTGAAAGATTCGTT